AGAGAGTCTTAAACGCTATTGGTCCGTTGTGTCCTTTAGTGGGCGATTTTGTAACGCTTCTCGAGGACGGTTTTGTGCTGTATATATATATATATATATATATATATATATATATATATATATATATATATATATATATACGTTTCGATTTGTGTCTGTTGTTATCGCTCGTGGTTCTGGCTTTTTGCTGAAAATACTCCCCCGTTCGGACTTCGATTTCTCTCTCTAGTTAGCAGGGCTGGGACGCAACAGAATAGCTAGTTTATTTGTCTTTGGTCAAAAGTCTTTGTTCCGATCGCAGACTAAGTGAACTCGTAATCGCTTCAAACATAGCAATTGTAAATTAATAATTGATTCTCAACGTCTTGTAATCTTCATAATACAGTTATTTCTCTTATTAAGCAATATAGGTTCGAGGATGAAAGTCATTCGATACGAACCTCAATTGAGTGTCATATTTGTTCACCGTTGAGGAGTACCTTACCAGAAAAAAAGACAATCTGTTGCTTGCCAGGAGCAATTGACACAATAAATGTATAACCCATAAAAACATCAAATAAATAAGAGAGATATATCCCCACATTATTTTAATACATCGTAAAGTAAAGTTCATATGCAATATCTAATAGTCATATATGAACAGAATCCGTTGTTAGTGTTCATTGGCTGGAAGAACCCGCATAATTCGGTTGTGAATTAATGACAAAAATCAAATATGTTACTAAATTCTCCACAAAACTCAATACTCATCTAAAGCATGTGGTCATCAGTGACTAGTTTCATGAAACAATGACTCTAGTTCTATTGCGAAGGCGTAATATGAGGAATTCAGTGATGTATTGTGTGAAAGAATTATACAACATAATTAATGGAAGATTGTTGCTCAATATTGTCAGTTGATTGAAGTTGGACGTGTACGTCATTGGATGATGGCTTAGTGGTCTGGATGTAAAGCGTTCGCATAATAAACCGATGGTGGTGGTGTACGACTCTTCGCGGTAGGGTCATACACGTGCATCGATGAGGAGTCCCATACTACAACAAAATAACTCTCCAGTACTCTCTGCTCTTCCATGGTCGTCTACCTACAATCACATTATATTCCAAACTGTGACCATTTTACAATCTACACAAAACCATACACCAATATTATTCAAATCGTCCCGACAATAACAATAACAATAGTAACAATAATAATAATACTAATTTCACAGGTTGAAATCATGAGTCAGTTGAAGCTAGACCACCATTAAAAGTCCGGAAGCACCGGACGGCTGTTTCGTCCTAACACGTGACTCCTCAGCAGTGCGCATCCACGAACCCGCCCCCCGCGGGATCCGAACCCAGGATCTACTGGCTTCGCGCGCGAGCACTTAACCACTAGACCACTGAGCCGGCCGGCATCGGGCGGTGTTAATGTCTAACTTCAACCAATCCACGAAGTTGCGCCACCGAACACCATTGTCTTCAGTGAGCTGATATCTCACAACAGACCTGGTTGAACTCCACTGGTGACGGCTTCTCACTAGAACTCCAGGAGGTTCTCCTGAAGTAAGCCACTAGTGAGCAGTTGATTATTATCAGAATGAGTTTGTGGAGATTTTATGAAATTTCACAGGTTGAAATCATGAGTCAGTTGAAGCTAGACCACCATTGGCGCAACTTCGTGGATTGGTTGAAGTTAGACATTAACACCGCCCGATGCCGGCCGGCTCAGTGGTCTAATGGTTAAGTGCTCGCGCGCGAAGCCAGTAGGTCCTGGGTTCGAATTCCGCGGGAGCGGGTTCGTGGATGCGCACTGCTGAGGAGACACGTATTAGGAGGAGACGGCCGTCCGGTGCTTCCAGGCTCTTAATGGTGGGCCAGCTTCAACTGACTCATGATTACTACCTGTGAAAGTTCCTAAAATCTCCACAAAACCCATTCTGGTAATATTAATGATAGTAATAATTACTACGATGACTGATCCCGTTTCACTGTTTTTTTAATTGGTGATGACAAATTACAAACATTGTAACAAACCACAGTTCTAACCACATTGTAATCGTCGAAGAAACATGAGTGAACATTGTGATTGGTTGGAAGTTTGTCCATCCACTACTACTTGATCGTATCGATAGTAATTGTCATCACATTGCCAATGTCTTAATAAGGATATTGAAACCATATTAGACCAGATTATACCACACTAGAACATTGTAAGTGCATGTAATTAATTGAGGTCAAACACATGTGTTGTTTTTTTATTGTGTGTGTGTGAATATTATCAGTGAGGAGATAAACTGGTCAAATCATTCATTAATCCACACATTCATGCATTTTAGTTAATCACTGGTGTACAAATTAAGTGTTGGCGTGTGAGACCGAAAATACTGTGTTTGAGCAATCTGTTGTGGGATCGTGTGTGTGCACATCTGAGGAGTCCAGTGCTTCCAGATTTTCAATGGTGGTCTAACATCAATCGGTTTATGATCTCAATCTACAGTAGTCCATATCTTCCACGCAATATCCTTCTTTTTAAACTGACGTTGCTTACCACTTTTGAATAAGTTCAGAAAATCAGGATAAACCGATAAGCTAAATCAGTGAATAATTGGAATGCCCAAAATAATCGTGCGATTAACCTGGTTTATTAAGTTCATGTGGTAAGTGAGATAGCACTATAGACATGCAATTGTAAATAATTGATTATCCACATATCCAACGTCACCATCTATGTGCTCTTATCAATGTAAAACATACATTATGTCGATATACAATTAATTTCACTAATCTGCATTGAGCGATTAGTTCCACATATATACACACACACAGATGTTTCCTTCCTGTGAATAACAACTGACTATTCAAATGTCACGAACGTAATAGTGACCGAATACAACTTCAGAATAATCCAAGTATTCTTTCCTCTCACATTTCGATAGAACACTCACTATGAAGTTTATGAACTGATAGCTACTAATGAGAATGTTCCGTACACTTGATTCAAGTAATGTATAACCCATAACAACATCTAATGAATGAGTGGGAGATTTCTCCTCATTATAGTTTTCGTTAAAATCACATGTAGTGTTTCATCATTTCAATACATCGTAAAGTAATGTTCATATGCAATATCTAATATTCACAATCACATTTTAACAACAAATTCTTATCCATACCACACCTTCACCATCACCATCATCATCATCACCACCGCCAACAACAACAACAACAACAACAACAACAATGTTATGAACAGATGAGAAAGTTCCCTCAATTTATTTATTGTTTTTCATCATTTCTGTTAACTAATTACAATTAACTTGACAATTGATTGATTATCCAACGACAGAGTAATTATTGATTGCCACTTTTTATTGTGAAGTGGGAAACAGAAACGAAATCCACTGTGGAAGATAATGAAAATCCGTTGTCAATAGATTGGACAAGTGAACTGGTTTTCATTTAATTTACAAATGATCATTCTGTGAATATCATTTCGGAAGAATAGAGATGAATGAACATTGACAACAGAACAAGTGAGTTGATCCGATCATCATCGTCATTATCATTAACATGAACACGTACACTGACAAACGCAGACGGAGAGAGAGAGAGGGAGGTTGGAGGGAGTAAGGAGTATGGAGTTAAGTAAACAGTGTGATCAACATTGTTGTATGTGTTAGTTAGACAGAAGAGATAAGTGTGAAAATGGCGTGAAAATGTGAACGTCTTACACGTGTGAAATGCAACACATTGACACATTGAGTCAACTGGGACAAAATCAACAATATCATGTTATCTTCAACCTGTTCAAATAAGAGCGCACAATATATGGAAACAAATGAACGAACAAACAAACACTCAGACAAATAGAGAAACGAGAGAAATAATTGAATAAATAATTGGTTGACTGAATGAATGTGAATGGAAATGAAGATTATGTCAATGTGTTTTTATTGTGTTTTTGTCCGACAGTTGAACAAGTGTTTATGTTGCAACTGTCAACATTTCATACTTTCAAACACCGTAGTAACATGAAAGTAGACAGCATAATCAACCGTGAAATGAAAGCAAACAAGTAGAAACTATCGTTAATTAAAACAATTTGTGAATGAGTTAATCAGTTAGTTGTATGAGAAGTGAGAACCCGCACAATACCGAATTGAACAATCGATCTCATTCTGTCATGCTTTAGGCTATCTACATTGAATTCAGTAAAGTCATCAATTAATTGTCTTTCTCTCTGTCTCTCGCTCGCTCTCTCATTCACGTCTATCTATATATACACACACTCTCTCTCTTTTGTCCAATTGTTGTTGACTATCACATTCGACGTGACGGTATTAATCTGTTCGGAAGTAATATTTCTATCATGTGATGACAATATTATGTTTGGCTGTACATGGCAGTGACAAATTCGTACGAATAATGAATGAGATTGTTTGGTTGGTGTGTGTGATAGGTGGGAGAATAGATGTTTCAAATAGTAACAAATTGTTTTTGACCGATTGAAGACAGTTGTGGACATGGGGTTTTGTTCCGTTCATAGATATGGATTTTCAAATACCTTGATAGTGTTACCAGTCAGTCGAGTAATTCATCAGTATGATGTTGAGTATTGGTGATATGGAAGTGTTGATCTAGTGGTGACTGGTGATATGGAGATGGAATCAAGTAGATTTCACTACATACGACCCATCGATCATTGTCCACTACTTGAATCAGACCAATAAATTCTGATTTGGTTGTGTGTGAATGGAGCAGTGACTAATTCTCAGGATAATAGATAATATGCTTCACATATTTCAAATTGTGACCATCAACACACCATCACGTTTCATTATATTAATGGACAAACCTGTGTTGCGATCATACACATAAAGTGGTAGTGTTTACTTGTTGATAAATATCAAGAGGAGAATTGCACTTTGATCTACAACTTGTTTGATTGGTAGTTGAAACAGGCTCACATTGAATAACTAGTGAGGTTTATCGTCCGTCTTCGATACTCATGAATGAATCGGATGATGGTATGAATGTGTATAATTAATTTACTTCACTTCGTTCATCTTCCATTTTGCATTTGTTGTTCTGTCGTTGTTTTTTTACTTGGTTTGTTTGCTTTAAATAGTCATAAACTGTTTATCGTATAATTGTAAAATGCATCTCGTTTTCTAGTGGGATCCTGTCGCATCGTCTACATACCCTTTCTGCCTCTGTGTGTATATATGTGGGTGTGTGATTTTATTGTGTTATGAGTTGCTGAATTTTGTTTTTGTGATTATTTATTAACATTGTTTATATTATGTCTATTTATTCCGATGGGATATTTTTCAGAAAAGTAAAATTGTTTTGGGGTAAAATATAGATTCATTTAAGTAAACAAATAACACATGTGTACAATAATCATTTCTCAATTTCTGTCAGTTTGTAATCTTTCAAGTGATAGTTTGTTTGATATCAGTTTTATGTGAAACAGTTGAAAAATAGTTCTGTTCATCATCATCATCATCATCATCATCATCATCATCATCATCATCATCATCATCATCATCATCATCATCATCATCATCATCATCATCATCATCATCATCATCATCATCATCATCATCATCATCATCATCATCATCATCATCATCATCATCATCATCATCATCATCATCATCATCATCATCATCATCATCATCATCATCATCATCATCATCATCATCATCATCATCATCATCATCATCATCATCATCATCATCATCATCATCATCATCATCATCATCATCATCATCATCATCATCATCATCATCATCATCATCATCATCATCATCATCATCATCATCATCATCATCATCATCATCATCATCATCATCATCATCATCATCATCATCATCATCATCATCATCATCATCATCATCATCATCATCATCATCATCATCATCATCATCATCATCATCATCATCATCATCATCATCATCATCATCATCATCATCATCATCATCATCATCATCATCATCATCATCATCATCATCATCATCATCATCATCATCATCATCATCATCATCATCATCATCATCATCATCATCATCATCATCATCATCATCCAATGTTGTGCACGCATACTTTTGATAAATCTTTGATTGAAACTAAATCTTTATTTAATAAGATCTGTGATAAACTTAAATAATATGAACTCAATTCTAATAATATAAGTAGTTGACAATTTAGTGTACTATATTTGATATTATATGTTCGGACGTAATCAATAAGGAAGAAACTCAGGTTCTCTTGGAAGTTAACATTCATTAACATAAAAGGTTAAATTGTTGGTTGATAACTTTTCTGAGTACGAATCCTGTAATGCGAGTTCAAAACTCTGAAAGAACGTTATTTTTTTATTGCTAGAGAAATTGAAACTATGGAAAAATATTAAATTTAGGAAAACATTTTAGTGATACTAAGTTCTCTAACACGAGTGATTTATTTTAAAAAGATTTCATTGTCGTTCTCCACAACATCACTAGCGCTTACTCCATGTAGAAGTAAGCACTTGGGCTTGTAGTTAGTTGAACTCTTTCTTATAAACTTATAAATTGGGTCATCAACGACATCTCTGTTACTCATCGATTGACCTGAATAAAATGTTTCTTGAAAATCCTTACGATTCTTGGGATATTTTGGACCCATGATATGAATGATTTCTCAATCAAATTTGTATCAGCAGTTGTTTAGATGCATTGGTATCAGTGATAGCATAGCATACCTTTTCACTGTTAGCATTCGTTCACGTATATACTGGTGACGGTGGCATTTACTCAGTCCAGTAAAGTGTTTTTCACAGTTAATACAGTTTATTTGATAGATAATGTTGTATTTGTCTTCGTTAGCTGTTGCAGTGAGACTATAATTTATGAATGACCTTTGGGCGACGCCTTAGCGACCTTGAGTATGTCCACCTACTAACTAGAACTAAATTATGGTGATAAACTAGTGTAAGGAATTAAAATTATGATTTAAAGTTGACGGTTAGGATTAGGAATCAGGTTTACGGTTTTTATCACGAACTGACATAAGCTATAATGCCACGACGCTATTTAGATAAATGGATTAATGAATTTCCAGCCAAAATCCATGAACTGTTATCCTAAATCTGACTGGTTTGTCCATAAATTATATTCTCGCCGCTGCTGCTTCACTTGATCTGGATTGAATGATAAATATTAACCAACAATAAGCTTATATCCAGGGCTTCTAACAGAGTGTCATCAACATCTTAACACTATGGATTACTTGTTGTGAGACATTTAAAATAATTTTTCTTATGATGAGAAATGATCATTTATTATTTATAAACCATACAAAAATCGCACAGCTATGATAACTTTATTATTCATTGAGAACTCAACAACACAATAATGTATCCTTTGCAGAATCCAGATCGGAACGGTAAATCTTCTTGAAATAAACATTGGTTTCCTAAAAGACGATCGAATTTGTATGTAGCACGTACTATATACTATGAAACTGAATAGTGAGGTGGGACTAATTGAACTTCCGAGTTATGACTGGAGTAATGGTTTTATGGTAAGAATGTTTAAGATCCAATAACTCAATTATTGGATCAGAACTCACACCTCGATTTCAGATTTATTAACCGGGCAGTATCACTTTGATGTTGAGTGGTTTGAAGCATTCAACAGGAAACATTGAATCTAGTTTTCATTCTAGTCGGTGCTAGTTAACATGATATACTTATGATATTATAGAGAGTGATATTACCTATGGTTTTTGAGCTCACGTTTCTCAACACAACAGCCTGAGACGTTACCATTGGGCTATTCGGGTCGCGTTCAGCCTTATATAAAGATAACATTTTTACTCAGATTAATTACCGAGTAGTGACCGATTTCGTATTTTTAAAATCCTCCAGGCATCATTCACTGGTCAAATAGCCAAGTGGCAATATCTCTGGCTACAAGACTATGTGACATAAGTTCAAATCCTACAGATAGGATTACTCCCCGTAATATTATAAGTATATCTTATTAATGAGTGTTGACTAGAATAAAATCTAGGTTCAAGGTTTCCTATCGAATGTCATCAACCGGACTAACATTTTTAAATACTGCACACAATATGGAGATAATCAAGTTAGTTGCCATGCTGAAACTTAGTCGATGGAATCAATTCACCATTAGGAACTAGATAAACAAGATAATTGCCACTAATCAGTGATCAATTAATGTAAATAGTGTCATCAATTATTATATCATTAGATTTTATCACAAACTGATATTAACTTTTTAAAAAAACATCTTTCTGTTACACTTATCAGTAAATTAAACCTACAACTCAATACAATATTAAACACAGAACCTGATGTAATCTTGAGTTGACCAGGGTATCATTTCACAATTTAGTCAGAATTCAATGACTTACATTTTCATATCTATTAATTTTACACCACTTATATAGGATTTGGTAATTAATACTCGTAACTTAGGTCACTTCATAATATTATGCTTCCATCATCCTATGCCTGTCATTATGGAGAATATAGTTAAATCAGATGTGAATTAATAGAACTGAAGGCCTATAAATTCTATTGCATATCCTCATTATATGTTTCTGAATAATAGTTAAGAATAAAATCCTAAACACGCGTTTCATCCTACTGGGGACTCGTCAGCTGGGCATATCTGTACGTTGCAGTTTCTACGTTAGTTATAAGACTTGAAATGTGAGCCTATCATTTTCTAATTGCTCGAATCTGGTGCTCCGCTATCGTCATTAGACCTAAAGATAAGACTAGAATAATCGTTTTATACACAACAATCCATTTATTTTTCTTCTCAACGTTATTCTAATATTCGTTCATGATGCCGCTTTCACTTCCAATGAAGTTACAGAAGTAATATAAATAAATCCAATTGGTATTGTTTACTTCAATCTTCCCACTGTAATTCATCAGTCTCTTATTGGCATTTGCGCATACTGTATGTATTGCGTCGATATAGTCTTAATTCACAAGCATTATATGCAAAGATGGTTGATGACTAGCAATGGAATCCAGAATGAATATTTTTTTCTATATGGGACTTGTCATCTGGATGTATCCGCATCTCAGAGTTGATGTTCACTCTGGGACTCGAATTCAGTACCGTTTACTTCAAACACCATCGTGTTGTCCACTTAGTTACTAAGTTCTGATATCCACTTGCTTATGTAATTGGCTGACGAGTCTCAAATAGGACGAAACACGCATCTTGGATTCGACTGCTAGTCACTATCCATCATTACAAGTAATATGAATAGTTTTAGTACTTTGGGTAGTAGTAGTAGTAGTAGTAATATTCAAAATCACTAATACAAGTTTGAACTTGTAAATAAATGAGATCTATTCAATGATCTTTAATTAAATAAACAATTATTTATTTATCTTTTCTTTTATTGACTTTTTCTATCATTTAGTGACAGAAAATGAAAATTTTTTTTATGATAGAATAACAAATATCTACACATATCATGATTAACACCATATTTTTTTTAACTGAATCATATCAATATCTGTAGAATCTATCTTATTAACTTAACCTAACCTATCCGATCCTATCCAATATCCCTTATTAGTTTTCATGTATCATTTAGATAGAATTTTCGTTTAGAATAAACACAAGTGGAACACATGGACAAGTATTCTGTTTAGATAATGAAAAGGGTAGAAAAGAAAAACTACTTATTCATTCATTCATTCATTCATCCATCCATCCATACTATAATCATCATCTTAGGGATAAACAGAAAGAAGAAAACAAATAATAAAGGAAGAAAGAGATATTGTTGTCTTTTTGTCGTTGTTGTTGTTTTGTTTCATTCTTTTTCCCCCTTATTAATAGTTTCGAATATTACTCTTTGTCTATAAGAAGACTTTGTTTATCTTATAGATAAATGTTTCGAACTAATAAAAATACAAATATCCAACCTTTCTAAAAGACATTAAACCAGGAGGGAGGGAGGGAATGAGGTACTTTATAGTTGACAATAATCAGGGTGGTGTATACAACACACATGCGTAAGTTGATGTTTTTCATTGCATACAATAAAGAATTAAACGTAGTGATTTAAAAGTTTATCAAATTTGTTGACCATGATTTTCATCAATCTTTCTTTATCTTACACTTACTCATATGGTAGCCTTTTTTTATCTTCTTCTTCTTCTTCTTCTTCTTCTTTCCCTCTCTCATTCATTCGTTTATTGTCTTCAATGTAAAGCGAATATTGTTCAGGACGTTTAATAGAAGACAGTAGCTGATCATGAAATTATCAAGTGTATATATAATAATATATACATCTGTTGAATATTTCATCTTTAGTAGTATGTACAACATATAGAGAGAGAAGAATATCATAAAACAGAATAAATATAAAATAATTATTAAGATAAGGTAGATAGTACTAATAAAATTAGAAAAAAAAAGAAACAATTCCAATGAATCCATAATCCAGTTCACACATGTTCATTAAATGAATTCTGATAATAATGTAGTTTGTACAATATTTAATTATTTCAATGGTTGAGATCATAGAAAACTAGGAAATAATAGACGGTCGTTTCCTTATAGTATAGAACTCCTCAGTAGTGTGTATCCATTATCCCACCTTGCGAGATTCTAATCCAGGACTTATTAGTCTTACGCGCAAACGCTTAACCTTTAAACCACTGAGCCAGCCGGTATCCAACGGTGTTAATGTCTAATTTCAATTAATCCACGAAATTGAACGATACATTTACCAATGTCTTCAGTGAGTTACTATCTCATAATAGACCCGATTGAACTCCACTGGTCATTGCTCCACATAGTAATATTTTTAAACTTGTAGTGAGTGGTTTATCTAAACAGTGTTGAATTGAAATCCAATGGTAATTTTAATCAAGTTGGCAATAGAGTAAATCTTCTCAAAGAAATAATCAAGACTAAACATGAACTAAATAATACTGTAGCTTGATTATTATACTGATACTGCTGAAGACACTGCTATCAATACTAATGTTATTTAATATTTTGAAAAAAAAGTGCTTAAATTATATGTATATGGACTAATCGTCCATCCATCTATTCAAAGAGTTTTTTTATTATATAGCTCGATTCAGTGAGACTATAATTTATAGATGACCTTTCAGTCACGTTAGAGTGACCTTGAGAGTGTTCACTTTAACTAGAACCAAATGATGGTTATAAACCAGTGTGAGGAATTAGAATTATGATTTACAGTTGATGGTTAAGGTTAAAAATTAGATTTAGGGTTTTGATCACGAACTGATATCAATCATAACGCCAAAACTCTATTTGGCCAAATGGATCAATGAATTTCACGCCAAAATCCATGACATATTATCCTAAATCTGATCGATTCGTCCATAAATCATAATCTCGCCCTCGATTCATTACAACTACTAGTTCACGATTCCTTAACTTTCAATTAACCCAGTATGGGGGAATCTTTGTTGCCAAGATCCGAATAGTGATATAAATAACTCTCCATATATATAGCCTGAAATGATACAGACAGGAGAACATGAGAGTATTAATTTTTACCAAACGCATAAATCACTCATTCACAGAAGACCAACCATATACTTACTATGTGATCATGCAGTGGCATATAATCTATTCCACCTTACCATGAATACCAGTTCTTTTTCTTATAAATTTCTAGTAGTCTAAATTATTCCATTCTGTGAATTAAATTGATCCGCACATTTCCATTGATAAATATTTGTCAGTATCAGAAGGGGTTTTGTAGATATTATAATAATTTTAATAGTTGAAATCATGAGTCAATTGAAGCTAGATTAACATGGAAAACCTAACGCCAGACCAATAGTGCCTGGGTTCGAACCTCGAGAGGCGGGATCGTGGATGCGCACTGCTGAGGAGTCCCACAATAGGATGGAACGGTTGACTGTCCAGCGTTTCCAGGTTTTCCATGGTGTTCTTGCTTTAATTGACTCATGATCTCAACTATTAAAATATTTCTTAATTAATATAAGTAGTTTAAAGACAATTATTTTATTCAGTTATAAATCTTATAGTTTTCTTTCTAAAATTTAATTATTATATATTTTAAGCGTCCTGGATTCCACTGCTAGCCACCAACCATCTCTGCATATAATGCTTGTGAATTAAGGCCATATCGAGGCAATACGCATAGTATGCACAAATGCCAATAAGAGACTGGTCAATTACAGTTCTAAACATCTATGGGAAGATTGAAGTAAACAGTACCGAGTGAATTTATTTGTTACGCTGTTTAAATATTTCAACTTTTTCCATGAAGGAATTATATTACACTCTATTATTTGTATCATTCTTGTATTATATTAGAAGTTTTTAAGAAAACAAATCATTCTGACGTTAAAACTTTCCTTCAACTATGTCGAGTATAAAATCGACTAGTGATATTGGAAGTATATTTGCCCAAACATTTAGGATTGATTGAGATTAGGAATATAAGCCATTGAAGATAAGATCAATGGTCAAAAAAACTTGAAATTCCTGAACTCTGTTCCAAATGGTGTTGAGAATATACAGTTTTGACGGATCTTATTGCTATGTTAATTGATGCTCTGGTTATTTGGGAGGGACTTGGGCCTTGTGAATTCCGAAAAATCTCGGCTTTTACCATGAGGCATCATAACTGTTCCAAATGAAAATCCTTCAACTTTCAGGGCAGAGTTTAAATACGTTAAATGATTTTTTCCGAATTAACGTGTTTTATAAGTCGTTTTCTACGTCATGGGTTTACAAACCTCATACACAACTCTCTTCCGTTAACCGGACTTGTTACTTTTACGCTCTAGGATCACATGAAACAGACAGTAATATTAGTAATAACTGTACTGTTTAATTATTTGGGTTAGACAATAACATGAATATGTTGCTTTCTGCATCATCTTGGAGTTTTTCGATTGCATAACTAATGGTTATTTCAGTTATTTGATCAGTTATGAATGCCTTCTAGCACTAAATTAACAGCGAAGAAAATAAATCAGAGAGAGTAATCGACAAACTTATTCAAGAATGGAAATCACAATGCTAAGTGTATTATTAAATTTATCACCGGATGTTGTGGAGATTATTGAGAATAAAGATTAACATCACAAATTGACTTTGGTTGAACAAGCACTCGAAATTAGGAAGTATTCAACAACTGCTTATTCCGAGTATAGAACTATTCAGTAGTGGGCATTTATGATCTCATCGAGGACAAAAATCAGGTTGCTCAACTCCCACAACAAATACTTAATTTTTAAATCACTGAGTCTTAATACATTGGTTTATAAGTCAAACATTAATCAGTTGAATGATTAATTGTTTGTCATGACACTTGAATGTTCTGTATTCACTCTTTGATACCCCCAAATGCCCTGGTACGGCCGAGAGTGAGGTGGGCCCGCCCTCCCTCTCGAAATGCTCTCACACGGCCAAGCGTATGTAGCCTCACTGCCTTCTCTCACTAGGGGTGTTGTTTACGAAAACGAGAGGATGAAAAGCGAATGTCCGGCGCTTTAACCGGATCTCAAACCAATGGTGCACATGGGCTCCAGTATCCTGAGTGAACGAATGGCGTATGAACCAATTGTTGGTCACCGGCTACCATGGGAATGCATCCCCTCACGATGCTCCACTACCTTGTGGATCAGACTTTTAGGTCAAAGGCTTGGGGTGTGGCCCCCCAAGAAAACCACCTGCTTCTGTTTGGGCAGTCGGGCAGATTCACAGCCCCCCCACACACACAAATATGGTGTGGCGCATATATATTTGGTGCCCTCTTATACCAATATTTATGTGTTGAAATAAATAAAAAAAATTCACTCTTTGATAAGGTAGTAGATATACACTTATCATTTGATAAATCAATAAATGAAATAACTAAGAATATCAAGGATATTAATTCTGAACTTTTAACTATTAGGATAAAAACAAACTTGGAATGTTTACATGTTTATTACAGATTACATTTGAAATATTAAAAGGTAAATAAATAGAAAGAAAACAAAAAGGCTGTACATATAATTTAACTCATAAAATAACTTAAATGGATCCATACAATTATTCTTAACAAAATTAATGAATATACACTCATATGTAATGTGTACATTGTGAAGAACTTATTTTTTTAAAAGTTGAGATCATGAATCCATTGAAGTTAGATCATTATGGAAAACTTGAAAATACTGGATGGCCGTTTCATCCTATTGTGGAACTCCTCAGCAATGCACATCCATGATCCTGTCTAGCGAGATTCAAAACCAAGACCTATTGGTTGCGCATGAACGTTTGACCTCTAGATCATTGAGCTGGCCATCATTCAATGATGTTCATGATCTCAACCATTAAAATTACTATAATATCCACAAAAAACTCTTCTGATATTTTAAAAAAGTATAAATTAACACGTAGTTTATATTAATTTGTTTTTTGTACAAGGAGAAGATATAAGATCCCAAGAGAAAATTCAATATTCTATACATAAATATTTGAAAAGATTGCGTTACATACAAAATAGAATAAAATTAATGTTTAGCTTTAAAACAATTGGTACATAATAATAAGAATATTATTATTATTATTAGCAGTAATAGTAAGATAAATAATAATGATAATGATCTCCTCGAAGGTCACTATTGAATATTGTACATTCGATAAGTCAGTTTTGTAGTCACCTAAAAAAACAATAAACAAAAGTGAATTGTAACAATGACAATAATGATAATTTTATAGTTGAATTCATCAGTCAATTGAAGTTAGACAACCATGGAAAATCTGAAAGCACTGGACGGCCGTTTCTTCCTATTGTGGAGCTCATCAGCAGCGCATATTCACGATCCTGCCTCACGAGATTCAAACCCCAGGACCTACTAGTCTCGCGCGCGAGCACTTAACCACTAGACCACTGAGCCGGTCGGCATCCAACGGTGTTAATGTCTAAATTCAACTAATCCACGAAACTGAGCGACACATCCACCATTATCATCAGTGAGTTAATATCTCATAACTGACCCGGTTGAACTCCATTGGTCACTGTTTCTCACTAGAACTCCAGGATATACCTCTTGAAGCCAGCCACTCGTGAGTATATGTTGATTATTATGAGAAGAGGTTTTGTGGAGATTGTAGTAATTTAATAACTGAATTTATTAGTCAGTTGAAGCTAGACCATCATGGAAAACCTGAAAGCACTGGAAGGCCGTTTCATTCTAGCATACGGCTCCTCAGCAGTGCGCATCTCCGATCCTGCCTAGCGAGATTCGAAACCAGGAGAACTGAACAGTTACTTGATTCTCCTAAGGAGAATTTTCGGTGGTGCTCACCTAGGGTTCGAAAGTAGGACCTTCGTACCTCACTATAAACCACTAACTATTAGAACTAACAAATCGGCGTTCACTTGTAAAATTCCAGCTTCACTCAGTTGATGATATAGCAGGATAATCATCAAAATCCAACTAGAGATAGCTGTTTCATTCACGTTATGTTCAAACTCCACTAAATATAATTTCTCAGTGTAATTTGAATAACATTATTAAATAGATCATCAGTAAACTAATGAATAGAGTTTACTCGAAAAATTTTGGTTGATAAATCGTGACTAAAGAAGTTCAGACTTCTTGTGAGTGAAACACTTATCATTAGTTGGATTGAATGACCGTTCCAGTATATCATAAATTAGTTACAGTCAAAATTATAATATTGAATGCTGACTCAGTGGTTCTAATGACTTAGTCTTCACTAGAAAATCTGAATGTCTTGAGTATAATCCCTAGTGTAGTTATGAATAGAAACTTTCAAAATTTCTATAACTAACTACACTCTTCTCTAATGTGAAAACGTAAATTTAAAAAAGTTTCTTTTCCATACTGTATATGTCCTGTCCTGTCCTGTCATATGTGTATGTTATAATACATTTTGTTGATAAGATGAAATATTATTAGTTAGTTATATAATATACCCTTGTGAGACAGGGTAATTTTACATTAGTTTTCAGCAGAACCAGACAACGTATGGGCTTTAACGCTACAATATGAATAGTACAGCTCAATCCTGTGGCGCAACCACACAGGTACCAAGCACCCTGGTGGACCATTCTCACCTTTCATATGCACATTCACATCACATGTATAGCTATTCCGATCAATGATCGCGTGAATCAATTATGCACAGCACGAACAGGCCAAAGTTGAACTATTCCGCTTACACAACAGTCAAACTCGTTAATGTTAGCAATGGCGACATGCTTTACAATGTCCCAATGACAATGGCCCTCGGGAACACTGAAAAGCAACCACAAGTATGAATGAAATCGGTTAACCAGTAAACCAATTTTTTACATGAACAGTCAGCAAAACTTGCCAAAGCAATGCCGAACCATCCACAATACCATTGGCGAACCTCCAGCCTCATATGAGATCTTCAGCTCTACATAGCCATATAGCCTGTCGTATGCCCTGATGGTGTTCTCTTAACTTTCGGATTGCCTGATCTGCCAATGGCGATGGGACAGTGCATGATGCTAATGTTGTGTGCTAGGTTCAAAGAGAATTGTATGCTATATGCATGCAAATCCTCCCCGTTATTGTTTAAGATGAAATATAATTATTAATAAAATGACTAGAAAATCAATTTTTTTCAACAAAAAAAAGGGAGTATACTTCGCCTTAGTGATTACCAACTACACCTTTTTATTGTTTAATCATAATTTAACATCTAATTAACATACCATATTGTTGTTCAGTTATTTAATTCTAATTTATCTTGAATAAATTCATTTGATTCTGCTTAAAATTCATCATGTTGACCTTGAAAAAAATAACCTTAACAAATAGGAAATTTCAATCGTTGAAATCATGAGTTAATTGAAGCTAGATCACCATGGAAAAACCTGAAAACAATAAACAGCCGTTTCGTCCTATTGTGCGACTCAACCATTGGAATTACTAAAATTTCCACAAAACCCCTTCTCATAATAATCATTGTATGCTCACTAGTGACTGATTTCAAAAGGTATTTCCTAGAGTTCTAGTGAGAAGCCGTCACTAATGGAGTTCAACCAGTTCTGTTATGAGATATTAGCTCACTGGAGACATTGGTGTACGGTGCCGCAATTTCGTGGATTAGTTGATATTAGACATTAACACCGTTGGATGCCGAACGGCTCAGTGGTTTAGTTGTTAAGTGCTCGCGCTCGAGACCAGTAAGTCCTGGGTCCGAATCCCACGAGGCACGATCGTGGGTGCGCAGTGCTGATGAGTCCCGCAATGGGATGAAATGGCCATCTAGTGTATCTAGGTTTTCCATGGTTGTCTAACTTCAATTGACTCATGAATTCAACTATTGAATTTACTAAAAATCTCGACAAAACCCCTTCTGAAAATAGGGAATTAATGAATTTAAACATATACGAAGTATAATTTATGTCATTGACTTTAACTTACTTCGATTTAGGTAAACAAGATTAAATGAAATACAAAAGTGTGTATAGTTAATTAGTGAGTTGCATTAAAACTATTTTTTTCAAGAGACTAATAATTTGTAAACTACTGATTATAAAAAAGTAGTAAATAAGTATTTTATGTTAATCTGAGACTATTCGGCATTAGATCTCGATTTAATGAATAAAAAGTATCATGGTTAATGTAAAACATGATATTTGTAGATAACAATTTACTGTAAGCTTATAAGTGAGCATCACTGATGAGTCTTAAAGTTGGACGAAATGAATTTTCTATAATTATTGATATGGAATATAATATAGTCACTATTTAGGTAATTCAATAATAAGAATAACTTTTATTTGATCATTTTCTTGTTAATATCAAATTATAAACTATTTTTGAAGTTCTAAAGGAGTTGAAATGGTTAATAGTTTACATCACGAACTAATTTTAGTGATAATAACAACTAATGACTAAAACGTACTAGTTTAGCCCCTAATATGGAACTATTCAGTTGTGTTTATCTACAGCCTTATGAAAGATTGAACTCAACATCTTTAGACCTTGCAGTGATCGCTTAACCTTTAAACCACATAGTCGGCATTCAATTCTCTTTCAATCCATTGATAGTGAAATGCTTCAAAAATGACATAGGTTTCATTATTAAATTTGCTAATAACTCCATACAACTTACATCGAAAAAGTGAGATTATTATTAAGTGGTTTTTAAAAAGGACTCTAGTAATCTTTAGAAAAGGACACAAACTTTGAAAGACTATCGGATGATTAAACTGTTTTGAACTTAAAAACTAAAGTAATTATGGAAGGATGAATAAAGGATTTCTGTAATATCGAATTCTTCCAGATGAAAGATTGAATTATGAATATTTTTTTAGATGATATCATCAAGATGAAATCAACTAAGTGAATTATCAAGTATATACTTAATCAGAACAAACTGTTTGTCGCTTATGATGACATTTCAACAACACACTTATGATTTGAGATGATGGAAAAGATTTGTATTTCAGATGAATGATTTTGATAGAGTTTTATTCCAACTCAAAGAACAAAACTCCACCAAAAAAAAAACAACAACACAAAACTGCATAGAAACTATTTTGTTTACGGAAAACATGAATACATTGAACAGAAGAAAAAACAAATTGTAACATCATGTAGTCAGTAAATAAATGAACATTTTTTCGAAAAAGATTTTCAACATGCTACTTACTTATCGTCATTTAAGTAGTAGTAGTAGAAACCATAATATTCGATTTTATATTTCATGTAATCAATAAATGATTATTGATTATTTTTTGCTTAGATTTTTTAATCATATGTTCATATTTTGGTTTTCTATTAATTTCTTTTGATAGAGAATCGATGGTTTCATATTGATTTTTTATTTGTTTATTATTCATTTGATAAAGATCAATACATGAAGAAAATTGATTTTTTATTTTCGTTTTATGATATTGATTTAATTGATTTAATTGTATTAAATGATTTGAATAATGATCTAAACTTTTAGATCGATAATTTATGAAAGAGGATTGATTTTTTAATTTATTTGTTAATTGATTCTTGTTTAAATGAATATAATTTTCACGTTTTATTTTTGGTTGCCATAGTGTAAATAAATTACATGATTGATTATTATGTAATGTTATTTGTTTCATTTCATTATTCAATGGAATAGATTGTTTACAAGTGAATTGATCTTTAATATATATTCCATTATTATCGATTGTATGATGATTTCGATCAATTTGATTTGATTTTTTGCATGGAGTTGATGGAATTATCATTGAATATTGATTATTGAATTGATTATTATTATGATGATGATTATTTATCATTTTATTAGATCGATCATAATTTTGATGATAATAAAATGATGGTATATATTCAATAGTTGAATTAATTATTTCCCATTTCCAATAGGATTTATCATTAATTATGATTGAATTTAATGTATTTAATTGATTTAAATCAATATTATATTGATCTTGAATATTTTGTATACTTTTCATACATGCTTCATAGGCTTCTATTTGAATATTTTTATATTTTATTGGTTTCTGTAATAATTTATTTGTAAATAATTGACGAATTGGTTCAATGGTAGGTGATAAATTGCAATCGATTGACATCTTGAATTAAACACAATAATTGTAACTAAAATAATTTTTTTTTTAAAAAATTGATCGCGTGCCTAATTTTACATGGATATTATGAAGATAGAATTGATGACACATGACCATGAATTGACCAATCAGATTTTTCCTTTTAAATAAATAAATAAATAAAGTAGACATGGTAACCATTCAAAAAAAAGAAGAAATATTGCGATGAATTGACCAATCAAAAAATTATTAAGGGAAGTAATATTTTAAATTCACTTCTGTATTGTTTGTTTGAATATTCCCATTGATCAATCTGTTATTGGCATATGTGCATACTATGTGTATTGCCTTGAAATAGTCTTAATTCACAAGAATTATATACAAAGATGGATAGTGATTAGTAGTGGAATACAAGGCATGTGTTTTTATCTGTATGTACAAATCTTTCAAATGATCCAACTTTCACTTTACTACACTTAAGTAAGAAACTTTTACTATGGTTAAATTCATAGATCATCAATGGTTAATGATTCACTCTGGATGCCGGTAGTCAACTTGAAAAGTAAATGATTTTTTTGATTGTGAACTATGATAGTGTATTTTCACGAATTCCTCCTGTTCTGAAAAAAAAACAAGAAAATTTAGGATGTCTAGTTGAGGATCACTTCAACTTTTTTTACCAATGAAAAGGAATAATCTAACTACCTACTCGAGTATAGTGTTCTGATTCCTTAGTAACATTACGGTTTGCAATGTTATCACCACCCTATACGTTTTCCTGAAAATTTTTGAAAGTAACTTTATACGTTTACAGTAAGACAAAGTAAAACCGAGCGTTATAACAATAATTTGCTTTGAGCTGATGAGAAATCTTAAAGTATAATGAATTCATATTGTTCTCCAAATCTTGTTCTTCCACTTTCATTCAATCATGTATTGTAATTGATTAATTTTTAACTACTTCAAGATCATGAAAAGTGCCACTCTTTACACATTTTGAAGTGCATTTCTGTTTTCATTTTCAATACTCAAAATTGATTTGGAATGTTTACTTGATTTTTAATAGTTGACTTTAGTGTGAAAAGACTTCAAACCTAGTTTGTACTCGTCAAAGGGATCAGTACATGCCATAAGATCCTAATTCATACAATAAAGTTTCTTAATCAAGGAAGTTACTACCGTATGTTATCTGAGTAGTTCCTGAATTCCTGTGACATTGCGTAATTCTAAGTTAAATCTCATGGAGATCATTAATCCAATCAAGATCATAGATATAAATCACTCATAAGGACCAACTAGAGTGAATTCTTATTCTAAGGCTATTTTTGAATCTCTGACATTAAACATGATATACATAGAATGTTGAGTCGCTGAAACCAATGGCTAAATTATGACTTGATTGATTAGTATTTTCACTGGTTGAAATCATGAGTCAGTTGTAGCTAGACCACCATGGAAAACCTGGATGCACTGGACTGCCGTTTCGTCCTAGTATGAGACTCTTCAACAGTGCGCATCCATGATCCCACCTCCCGCGAGATTCGAACCCAGGACCTATCAGTCTCGTGCCAGTCGTTTAACAAACTAGACCACTGAGCTGGCATCCAGCGGTGTTAATGTCTAACTTCAACCAATTCACGAAGTTGCACCACCGTACACCATTGTCTTCAGTGAGTTTATATCTCACAACAGACCTGCTTGAACTCCACTGGTAACGGTTTCTCACTAGAACTCCAGGAGTATCTCCTGAAGTGGTATAGCTTCAATTGACTCATGCTTTCAACCATTCAAACTTCTAAAAATCTCCACAAAACCCATTCTGATTAGTATTTGTTCAAAAATAAGAGTTAGATCACACTGGTTATTACTTAGTTTTTACTTAGTGTAGACAGTTGTTCACTTATTAATAATAATAGGTGTTTCATTCGAGAGTATTTCTTCTACTACTTATCACTTAAAAAATAACAAATAATTTTGTACAAGAAACAATCTGAATGAAGTCATCCATTATTTTACTGATATGCACATACACTTATGGACATGTATATATCCACAACTCGTGCTCCCCTATATATATATATATATATATATATATATATATATATATAATACTGCAGGCCACTCGAATATTAAATCTCAAACTAATAATCATATGTGATTATATCATTTACAGTTCAACATCGTGTTTATCTATGTATCTATCTATCTCTATTTGATGTGTGTGCGTGTGTACTAACACGTGTGGATCTTCACACACACACACATATGCACACATACACACATATATATATATATAGAACAACCTACTGCAATTATCATCATTACTAGATTGATTCATAGGCTAGATGAAGAAAAAAAAAGAAACATAAACCATAGCAACAATACAATAAACTCTTAAAATGAAATAATGAATATTAATTTTTTTTGTTTCTGAATAAAAAAAAAAGTAAAAGAACGAATAAGTTTCTTATTTATTTTCAAATTGTAAAAAAATAATTGTCTCACTTATCTATTTTCAACTGTGTATTGTCTCTTTTTCTTTTCTTTTTTTTTCTTTCAAGTGATAACACAATTATAATTACAAAATGAATATATACTCAAGCGTAAATATGATGAGTTGATGAATATGAGCAATGAGAGAATAACAGGGGTGGGGGACAAGAAACAATATACAAAGTGGAAAAAAAAGAGAGAATACAGACACATTTTTTAGACACACACACATACACACATATGTATATATATAGAGAGAGATGAACATACAAACAAGTGCATACATTATATAATATGAATAGAGAATAATAAATGATGACAACTATTTCTATTCTTGAAAAAATAAGAGAACAACCATAAAATAACTGTATTATTTTAATCAAAATGAAATGAAATGAATCATTAACAATACAAAAGAACAACGATTAATTTAATAATGGTAGAATAAGTAAATTGTTGCTATACTAAAGTAATATACATTTTGAATTGTCGACAATTGAACTGACATAATACGTTATCTTTTTTTCTTGTTGTTGTTTGGATTTGAGATATATCCTATAAAACAATTTCATTGATATAACAAAGAAAGAATGAATAAGAAGGGATGAAAAGTATGATTTTGTATACAAAAATACTTTTTATCTACTTAGAAACAAAAAAAAATGGACGATTTTGTTCATTATGTATGAAAACTGTTGAGGAGTCCCATAATAGGACGAAATGGCCTTCTAGTGCTTCTAGGTTCTCCATGGTGGTCTAGCTTCAATTGACTCATGAATTCAACAATTAGAATTACTAAAATCTCCAACAAAACCCCTTCTGATACAAATTGAAATTGTCAATGCAATGCTAAACATTGTAGTAATACAAAATTGATCAATATTAGACCACCATTGAAAACCTGGAAGCATTGAAACACCGTTTCGTTCTGTTATGGGACTTTTCAGCACTGCGCATCCAAATCTAGGACCTCTGATCTTGCACGTGAGTAATTTAAATCTAGATTACTGAGTCATTATCCAACAATGTACAGGTCTAATTTCAACCAGTCCATGGCACTGGTTGGCCGTTTTTCATTGTCTTAGCTGAGTACCTCCCTAAAACCTGGCTCAAATCAACTCCACAGGTTATGGTTTCTCATGAGAACTTTGACAGTTTCCTCTCGAAGCTAGTCATTAGTATTTAAGTCTAATAATCATGTGTGATTGATTGGAGGATGAGTTAAATATAAGTTAATTTCTCCAATTGCTCATGACGTTTTGTTGTGTTTATTTTGTGTCCATCTTTTCTATATCACCATGTTATTTTATTGTATGTGAAAGTTATTCATCTGGCTAATGGTCTTGTTTTTTTAAAATATTTCTCACCTTCTGAGGGTCGAAGTCGATTTATGATCTCGTGAGTAGCCGTCTCTCGGTCACAGTATACCATTGCATTCATCTGTCGATTAGCATTCTACCTATCGATTTTAACAACATAAATTTCACGTCACACAGAGAACCTCACTTCATAACAGCATATGATAATTGTCAGTATAGAGTTGTGGAAATATTAAATTTAATTGGAGTCATGAGCCGATTAAAGTTTTATTCATTCATTTCGGTTAAGATTTGCATTTAATATTTTATTTTGTTAGTACGTGATATCGCATCAATGGCAATAGAGTCTTATCTTACTAGAATCAAAATTGAGGCATGCTGTTGTCGAATGTTATCTACTTGAAACATTTATTGTGTGACCTGATTCTTGTGGATAGAATTTAGATCCTATTCCTTCAAGAACAGTTCTGTTAATTCAGGAACATAACAAACTTTTCACTGTACAGTACATTATTTTGTTTCAGAGAAACGTTAGATTGTATGGTGGCGGAGGGGAATAGTTGAGGTATTTTTCATTTCTCGATATAATTCGTTACCATAGTACCACAGATATTGATGTAAAATTGTGTTCAGTATAGTTGAGATATAACGGTTAACCATAAGTGACTCGAAGTAGCTTCGTACTAGATATAGAAGAATGTAGTGGTTAGGTTCATTCAAGCTGATCTTTATTTTGCTGGATCATTTCGTGCATTCAGTTCACGATATTTGAATTTTGATTGTTACAATAACTGTGAAGAATATTAAGTTCGAAGTGAAACGAATGATATTGGTTGAGTACTGTTACTTCCTCATAAACTGATGGAAATTAAACATTTTTACTACTGGATTTTTGTATAGTAGTCTGAAAATTTATTGTTCATTTACCGATGTAAAGTTTCCCGCTGTCTGTAATTATAAGTATGATAATTGTGAGTATTCTCAAGCTAAAACACAAAAACTATTCAATGTTCATTGATTTTAGATGATTATAGTGTACTGTTATGACTGAGAAACATTAAATGTAAATGTACGTTATTCACGTACATATATACGTCCAATCATTGTTACAATCATCAAATTATATTGAACGACTATCGAATGATCCTACTTTTCAGAGATCTTTGGAGTTAACCATGATTTACTTACACCTGCTACCCTTCCAGGACCACAGGT